GAATCCTTAGTAAGGATTACTTACAAAATCACAATTAACAAACCCACTGTGCAGACAAACCATTCCAAGGACACCAGGAATTACAGACTGATGATGATAGAATTCCTGATAAACAGAAGGCACCTTGAAAGTCACAGTTTGCAAGAAAGCTGTTACATCGAAACAGAACTTAAAGATCCATTATCRAATCMACAGTGGAGAGAAACTATTTCAATGCACAATCTGTAGTGAAGGCTTTGCAGTTAAGATAAACTTAAAAAGGCACCATCGAATCCATACTGGGAAAAAACCATACCAATGCACTATCTGCAATCGAACTTTTGCATGGAAGCAGTACTTTTTAGTGGCACATCATCGAATTCACTAGCAAGAAGAATAMTTGGAAACCTTAGTAAGTTGTACCATAAAAGCCACAGTGAAGGATTAATTTTCAATAATCTGTACTAACTAGTTTATGTAGGGTAATGGCCTCGCTCCTCGGCTTATTGAAAATTTAATTCCATTGTATTGGAAAACAATATATTATATATACACCTACTTGCGAAAACGTTGTCATAAAAAATAGGACATTTGTATTTTAGAAAAAAGGAATAAATTTAAAAGACAAAAGACGATCACTGAGGCTGAACGCTTTCTTTTGTTTTGTTTTAATTTATTCGTATTTACTAAATTCGAATGTTCTATTTTCTATGACAACGTTTCTGCAAGTAGGTGTATGTTCCGTTTTATAGTCAATGGCATCGTGGAGATGCAAAACCTCACCAGTTAAGTGTTTCAATGGTGTTTTCCGATACAATAAAATTAAATTGCAGCATGTAATATAGTACAAAGTGTAGAGATTGTGATGCTTACTTGAAGATTTCCAATTTATACTTTTCTTTGTATGTAAAATTTTAAGGAACAATCGGTTTTAGAAAAGCGCTCAAAACTAATGTAAAACCATTAATTAGCCTGCTTATTGTGAAACATGCASAACACAGTTTGAAAAACACGGTTTTGTTCTTCAAAAACAAATGAGAGTATATATAAAATGGGATAATGGCCTCGCTCCTCGGCTTATTGAAAATAATTTTCAGCCTCAGAGCTCATCCATTATCCTATACATAGCAGCATTATTTTATCACTTGTTTTGTCGAACATACAATGGGTATTTTTTATAGTGCAACTAGGCAATTAATGCTATTTCAATTTAACTTGGAGTATTAAAGGTATTGATTATTATGTTCAAAACAAGAATAGTTCAATTATATAATGGATTAGCTTGGGTGCACAATGTGGAAACACAAAAGAATTCTTTGATTATATCGAATTCAAACTGATTTTAAAATTCSTTTTGTTTTAGAATTTTATAAACAGGTGTATTTTTGCACTCTGTTTTAAGTATATCACCATATTTATATTCACCAAATGTTTCAGTTCCTAAGTATAATATTTATCAGAGTACACAAAGTGCAATTATTATCATTATTAAAACCCTCTGTATGACATTTTTTATACTTTCCATACCAGAATTCTTTTTTGCGGTAAAACTATTGGCTCTTGATTCCATTTGTGTCTCTGTAATATCCAGCCAAACGAACAAAACATTTCAGAGAAGGATTGTGGAAAATTATAAAATGTCCTGAGGGTTTCATTTTACAGTCACCACTGCCGTCTTAAAAAGCTAAGCCTTTGCATCAATGCAGAAAAGTGAGTTKGTTGACCCTTCAGTGATAGATACAGTTTAGCCTTTAAGAACATTTAGTCACAGGTATTGTATTCTCAAACACTGCAAAGGCTTGGCTACCTTTGAATATGATGCTGGAAATTGTAAAATGGAGTTTTTTTTAAATGGCATTAAATTGCAAATATAATCATTTTTATAATTATGATAAAACATGATTGAGAATTGTAAATCAGATTTTTTAGATATGATGAAAAAAGCTCGACTGATTGATATGCAAAATCTGCAATTCTACATGAATGCAGCACCCTCCTGGTAATATAATCAGGCATAATAGTTATAATCACAAAGATTGTTCAAGTTACTTGAGTGTTTGCCAAAGCACTGAATACTGTATGTTCTGTTTTTATTAAAGTGGTTTTTAACCGTTTGTCTTCATTGTTTATTTGTTTACACAACTTAGGCACTAGATAATGGGGAGGTACTCCCCTCCAACTTGGGTGGGGGTGCAGCTGGGCCCTTAAAACCCTGACCCTGAGTAAAATCTCTAAAAACGATACCCTGTTCCAGAGTAAAATTGCTGAAAACGATACCCTGTTCCAATGTAAAATCGCTGAAAACGATACGGCGTGTTCCAGAGTAAAATTGTTGAAAACGACCTGCATGATAAAGCATCAATTATTACAACTATCAGAATACCCTGAGAATATTCTGTTTGTTATAAAGCTTTATATTTCCTTCTAAACTAATGTCATGACATAACAAACGAAGCAATTTGTAGTTTATGATGTCACCATTSCAATTTCCTACAGTTGTATTAGTGCATTAGACTAATATCTTTGGTGCAGATTTTATTTCTCAAATTTTTTTACACATATTTATCTTTGGCTACTTCAAACACATCGGATGGAGAGTATTCTTCAATAAGTTCTTCTTCAACATTTTCTARAGCCCACTCATGTTCAACTATCTCTAGTGCTTCCCATTCAGCCTGGGAACAAATTGATAAGACTTAGATTTATAGTTGTATTAATCTAATAGAAAGTATGTTTGATGAGGAGTGAATTGTGTTTAATTTTGTAAAGAAGGGAGAAAGTGTATGCACTGGTGATGTCGTAAAAACTAACTTGAAAACATTAAGGACTGTTCATGTCCTTTTAAACAAATCAGAAATTTATCAAGAAAAGGGAATCTGGCCCCAGAGTCTACCATGAATGGACTTTAACAAATCCTGTACATGTACAGGAAATCAGTAAATGAAAACCAATATATTGTTGTAATACCTTGAAGGCCTTGCTTGGGTCTGGTGGCATCTGCATTTGCATCTGATCTTGCATCATGCGTGTCTGATCAGCAGCTGGATTAAGATAAAAAAATGTCAGGTGAATGACTGTACATGACTTGAGCATAATATGCAGCTACAAGTAAGTTGGTTTCTATTTGGTTAAAAACCAAAGATGGTGAATTTTCTCATGTTAGAAAATAATCACAAAAAGGTTCTTTGATGCATGTTTGCCTTTATTGTAATCTAGAAGGGTCGCCATAGTAACTARCTTACCATTGTTCTCACCCAATACAAGTGCATACATGCTACGGAGACCAAATACATTGATGAAATACCAAGACACAGAACTAACCCTGAAATATCATCGAAATCACATTGAATAGAGTAAACTTAGTTCAAATAAAAGTATAATAAGGGTTCAATTCGATCCACAATCTCAAACATTCTCTTGAGTAACTTGCAAAAGATGCTCAAAACATGGATCCAAATTCAAAGATAAATGTAGTCAACAATAATTGTAAACGTTCRTTATACATAAAATAACTCTTACACATCCATTACGTGCACTCTGATTGGTGAAACATGTGCTTTAGAAGAGCACATAACAAATACATATAACTTTGTGAAGCTACTGTAATTTATCATATTTCTYACTTCCAAATAATAAGACATATCTTAATATATTAGACGTACTAAATAAAATTCACTTTTAAAACATATCTTGCTTTCTTTGATAGTTATAATACGATAAACAGAATATGATAAAAGATAAAATCTGGATCTCTACACGTCCATGCAATATCCTCTATAGACATGCAACTTCATTTAAAATCACACGACAATCATACAATTCCAATGTTTGCAATACTTATCACATACCATGATGCATTGAGGTTAGTTAAATCTATACCACGTTGAAGCATAGCTTTAAACCTGATGGTCAATGGGAAGGGGACCTTTGCTGGAATAAGAAAAAGGAATCTATGTACACACAATTTACTTTGAGCAGGTTTCATGTGGGTGTGGAAAAGTCAGCACTTTAGTGTTGTGATATTGCTGTACCCATGATGCATGTGTATTTCCTAAATACAATATACATGAAGGGCCACATCAATACCATAGGTTCCAATAAATGTGTTGTGTTGTGCTTTGATCATAATATATTTTGTTCTATATTGTATGGTTAGAAACAATAAATTGTATACTTTAGACCTTTTGGCCTACAGACCAGAAACCTATAAGGGACTTGAAACATGTAAATGCCCATACATTTCTTTAGTACAAAGCATCGGAATAAACAAAGCTCATTAAAATTTTGAAAAYGAACGTTRTGACCATRTTTGGAAAATWCGGCTGTTGGATAACAGATTTAAGGCCGGTTCTGGATTTAATTGTTCCAAATAAGGAAATGAGATGTAAATTAGATTTGAATATTCCATTGGTTGGCAAGTCGTTACATGTTTCAAGTCCCTTATAGGTTTCTGTACAGACTAAATGGTGTAAAAAAAGAAAAAAAAAATGATTATATGATTGTTAATCAATCAATASGTGTACTTACTAGTAATGAATCCAGAATAATGCCAGTTAATCCACCCACCAATTAAAATCATTGGCAAGACATTGGTGATATTTCCTTTGGCCATATCTACCATCATTGTAGGGTCTACAAAAAATTACCAATTATGTCAATTTTCAAAGATTTTAAGGAGTAGCATGAATAAAGAAGGATGGACTTGTAGAAAGTCTACACTAGACTTGAATATCTATTTCTAGTAAAATAGTCGCATCATTATTTGTAATATTTACACACATGATGCACAGGATCAATATAATTTCCTCCATGGTTCTTGGCGCCATCTTGAAAGGTAGCCGTGACTTTGCATCAAAGCAAGACAACCATTGCCTGTGCAATGATAAAAAACTGTGAATAGCTGTCTGTATGTGTGAAAGAAGGTTTCTATCATTGCCCACTCAATGGTCATCTTGCTTCCATGCAAAAATTATGGCTACATTTCAAGATGGTGCAGGAAACTTTGTTGAAAACTATTCATTTTTATGAGCAAGCCCTCATGTCATTGATCTGCCAACAATATTTAGGCACGGACAATGCCATCACAGCAAAAGGAAAGTCATATSACATCACAAAAACAMTTTCAGTCACATCACAAAAACAATTTCAGATGCCATGAACGTCCTCTTCACAGCCCTCAAACAACATATTTTTAATTAAGCTTATTTGATCCATAAGAAAATACAACTAGCTACAACATGTGAATTTTTTCTCTTCCCCATGGTATTTTAACATACCTGAAATAGGGTTCTTGACTTGGCCTTTACGATCTGTCTTCTTAAAATACCCTTCTTTTTCATCGTTAAAGAAATGCCTCCTCATTTCAAAAGCCTAAGTAGTGTTCAATGCATGACAAAGAAAAGAAAATGACAAATTCGCATTTTGATCAAAAAAGGTTGTCTAAGATTAACGCTTTCAATTTCTACCTCCTGGGTTATGAACTTTCCATTTTCTCTTAAGCATCTACTTCTCAAAAGAGCTTGCCTGTATATAAATAAACATAAAAGCTAAATACAGAGACTCGTCCGTGTTGCAGAAAYGTCGGTTGAAACAGCATCGTTAAAAGTTTCGATGTAACACTCACGTATCAGTGACTCCTTGAATATCTACATCTTTCTTGGATTGCAAAAGTATTGATAAATAATGCCTAATGATTCCAATAAGGAAAGTAATTACTACAATGGGTAAAATAACCCATAAACGGATTGCTGGATCGAGAACCAGCTCCGCCATGTTGAAAAGTGCTAGACAAATGACCCATCACCCTCTGCGAGGCTTGTTGAATACACAGGTAGCCCACGAGACGCTCATAGAGCTTTAACTCGGGTGCTCTCGATCTCGTACGCTAGCCAGGAATCTGTGATTTTAATCAGTGAGCAAAGTGAGCAAAAATTGTGAATGTTCACATGCTGACCCATGTCTCTCCATTTAAAACTATGTATTCAGGGTAATGCAAAAAAATACCTGAGCAACTAAAAAACGTAAAGCTTACCCTGCGAGCAGAGGAATTTTTCCCCTGGGGGTGGAAAATTCCTCTGCTCGCAGGGTACGTAAAGCTATGGGGGAGAAGAAAAATGGGAATTCGAATTAGAGAAAAGACAGAGAAAAAAGACACAAATGATAATATTAATCTACGTAATATTAAGTTGTTTTTTTTTAAGTGTTTATCAATTCAAAGCAAGGATACATTCACTTATTATTTACGATTACATAGAGAATTAAACTCAAATCACTATCAATTGGATGACTATATACATCGATAACAGTATAAGTACACCTATATTTACAAAAGGGCGTGGATAACCCATAATATAATTATGAAAAAAACCCTGCATATTGCYATTGTTCGCCTAAGAAGTAAAATTACGCTATCAAAAGCTTGTGACTTTAYTTTAAAGAAAAAAAAAGGGAATTGACTTATCTTCACCTGATGAAGAATCGAAAAACCGTAAAAATGAATTAATTACCAAGACGCTAAGGGTTGTAGTTGATATAGTAAAAACACAGAAATATATATCCAAATTAATAAAATATTGTGCAATTGCAAATCTATTAATATGTTTTAAAATTTACRAATGTTCGAAATTGCTTAACGAAAGTGCATGATCCAATTCACGAATATTTTAAAACTGTTAATGAAATTCAAATTTTGGCAGCTAAATCTTCAGTAAAGATGTCGCAGCTCTAATTATCTGCATTAGAACAGAAAACTGAAACCGAAGTGCTTCATCGCGGCTTTCAGTTTCGTTTTTCCTATCTTTGAATTCTTGGATGACATTCTCTATATTCAAAAACCTGTCGTTGAACAAGACTGTTTTCATTGACGGGGAAGTGGTGACTTGCTGGCTTATAAACGTCCTTTCCAAACTCGCCATTTGATCATTGTACATGCGCAAGGTCARTGGGTTTTCTTTGCCAGTAAGTTCCTTTTTCATATTCTCAAAACGAACGGCGACGRCAACAAACTCATCGGTAGCTTGTTTCAAGTCCTTCAAAGTATCATTTGCGTTTGGGAAGGTAAAACTGTATATTTTCAGGTTTCTATTTGCCTTTAGTACCGATTTTCCAAATCGTTCAACACCAAATGGAAGCAAAGAACAGTCTGACAGTTCCAACACCATACCGCCTAACAACTGCGTCATCGTTTGGAAATGCCGAAATTCCGGGTCAGCGAATTTTTCAATCCATTCAAACGTATCGAATTGGGTGTGATATAATGGATAAAGCAGTTCTTTGTTTTTGTGGCCATAGAAGAAGCTAAAATCCGCCGTTGTGACGCCMGAGTATACCTGGAAGGGAAAATTATCGGACACGTATTTGAATATGCTAATCTCAGGCTCGGTTGGATAGTCGCGAGATTTTTGAAGCCGCACCAACATTGTGTCGAATAGCGTCTTAGAGGGGACCAAGGGATCTGGCATCTTTTTAGTGTGTTTAATAATAAACTCTGAGAGTAATGGAGCTGATTGCACGTGTAATACATATTTCCCWCCAACAGCAATATCCGTGTTTAGATATGCCACACCCCGTGCGCGCACCAATTGATCATTTTCTTGTATCCATTCATGGGACCCCATTAGTGCCATTTCTTCTCCTCCCCAGCTGCAAAGCTTAATCGTTCTTTTTGGCTGCCATCCTTGCTTTTKAAGACCTGATAGAATTCGTGAAATTTCCAGCAAAGTTGTTGTACCACTAGATGGATCCGACGCGCCAAACGTCCACGCATCTCTGTGGTTTCCGATAAAAACGATCCTGTCAGGTTCGGATTTCCCAGGTATCGTAGCGATCACATTGCGGACTGTTTTAATGCGAATCTGGTTGTGGACTTCCAGTCTAACGATTGATGACGTATTCGAGTTGCTCATCAGTGGACCAAATCGATAATCAATGTTGAATCCACCCTTCATAAATTGTGGGACTTTGATTCCTGAAACAACATGCAAAATCACTTTCCTCCATTTTCCGTCGACAATTTTTGTTGTTTTTTTTTTAGGGGGAGTGTGTGTGTGTGTTGGGGGGGGGGAGTGTTGGTGGTTGTGGGGTAACTGTTCTAAATATTGTTGAAGTTTATGCAGGGAAACTTTCATCAATCCATGGTGCAACAGTAACCGCATATCACATGAAGACAGRAGATCGATGATCTATTCTCACCTCCCATTTTGCGCATAATGTGCAATGCGTCGTGATACGATATTGTTTGAGCGGGGATCTTCAGATATTTGATTTTACTTTCAGGAAGGCGATACATTCCTTTTTTGGATGGTAAATGTGGCGTATAAGGATCGCCGAGGTCAGGAATCATAGAGAGTCTTTGTACTGCGTCAGGAGGAAGCCATGGTGAATTAGGGTAAGTGTCATTTTTGCTATGCCCCTCTGGTGCATAGTATTTRGGATCGGAGTAGATGATAACTCCTATTGCCCCTAATTCCTGGGCCAGTGATACCTATGGGAAAGTAATTTCAACAGTTAATGAAATTTCAAAGATCCGTTTTTACTTTTTGCTCCACGACATTTAGGGTGGCAAGGGTGGTCTAGTGGTTAAGCTACTGGCCTCTCACCGCTGTGGTCCGGGTTCGATTCCTGGGCACGGACCATATGTGAGTTTGAGTTTGTTTGATGTGTTGTTCTCTCCCTTGCCACGAGGGTTTTTCTCCGGGTCCTCCGGTTTTCCTCCCTCAGTAAAAAATCAACATGTGAGGAGTGTTGTGTGCTAAAATAATTAATGTAGAGGTAGTGAGTGTGAGTGTGAGGGCCACAAGTTCATCAGTTCTTTACTGTCACGTGTTACCCTCGTAAAATAAAGTCGATTTATTTATTTATTTACATTAGTGTGTTTCATGGCGTGTTTAATTAATTAACTGGAGGTAAGGGGCCTGCTSAAACAAAATTAAAAGGCGATTTCTTTATTTAGCTGAGAAGATTAACTTTCATGTTTTCATTGTCCATTACCTATCGACCCAGGCCATGAAATTGCCCTCTGAGAGCCTTCTACAACGTGATGCAGAATCGAGATGGCTGGCAGAACCCTAACTCATGTATATCATATACATCGGATGCGGGTAAATCTAGTCAGACATCTCAAATATATCTATTGTTCAATCCCTAGCGCTACGCTGGAGTTAGGSTCTTTAGACATTAGACATTCAGTATCGTGTTCCTCAAGGCAAAAAAAATATTGGCATGCCCTTTTGTTTTGCTGTTAAGTGTAATTTGCATATTGCTGCTCTGCACACCCCAATGAGCTTCCCAATATTCAGGAATATTAACAGCAGAAATACTTACCTGTCCAAATAAATAMCCCATGATAACGATTTTTCCCTTAACAGAGATGTTACTCYTTTTCAATTCATTGAAATCAGCTAGCAATCCTCTGCCGGCATAAACTAACTCTCCTTCTACTGTTGCATTCGGTGTGTAGGCAAGGAAAGGTGAGTACTTAAATGTGGTATTACTCGTTGTACTTGATGACATCTTTGAAACAAGAAAAAATAATRTATATAAATAATCAAAAAACGTGCATTGAGCAACAACTATACACTAGTATTATGGTTTATATAATAAGCTAATGGATCAAACGAAAAAAAAAACAGCAAAATTCTTTATTACTAGAAGTGAAAACAAATTAAATGAGACGACATATTAAGATAAAAAGAAATGAACGAAACCAAAAACGAAACGAAAMGAGAAAATTGTGAAAACAAAACAAAAGCAAAGCAAAGCAGCGCAGAATGAAACGAAACAAGAAAAGTTAAAACAGCTGAACAAGACGAAAAAAAATCAAAATCAGTCAAAGCGAAACAAAGCAAAGCGAAACAAACAAAGAAATGAAAGCAAGAAAAAAACAAGATGAAACAGCTTACATTTAGCTGGCCCTTGATGACGTATTCCTGAGCTTTTGTATCGTTGTTGATAATAAACACCATATTTGGTTTATCGTCTTGAGGAAATGATATCGGGACGTCGTACTTAGGTATATCCACCTTGAAACCATAGTCTTTCCATTTRTTTTCAATAAATTTGCCCAAATCCTCATTGGCTGGRGTGGTAGCGGGGTGTGGACGACTTGTAAGGAACCTTTTCACAAAAGAGTACTATATGTTTCAATGATTTTGGCTAATGATTATTGAAAGAAARCTCACACGGGCCATAGCTAACCGRCATGCATTGCGGTCGTAGGTGGAGAAATCYTTCYTTTAACAAGARCTATGTTCTTTTTCAAGAATGTGTTGGGCAAAATAATTACATAGTATATAGAACAAACCACAGTGCAYTGCAACCCCACSATCTAGTATTCCCTGAGAAATACAAAAGAGCAAAGCGCCAAGGATAAAACCAACTATGAAAAAACTTAGTAAWKTTTTTATCTATTTACTTAGCAATCGTTTTAGMAAAGTACAGGGTTTTTTTAGAACCAAAAACACCGAGGCAACTTAAGATAGTTTAACCTCGGTTATCTCTTCTTAATAAGACGCCCTCATATCGGACGATCAGGAATCAATGAATAGGGCTACTCAATGATACTATCAACGTTTGGAGGATTATAGCTCTTGAATATATCAAAGGTTTATACTATTCTTTGTCCGGGTATCAATAACAGGAAACACTGGACGAGTGGTTACTTGAGAGTAACAAATCGAAACATTCGCAGAAATCTGCAACTTTGAAGAACCTAAAAAATAATCAGCCTAATTTTCTTCGAGATAAAACATTGTTTGSTGATACACATTCACTTATGAAATCAAGGAACAAATTATAAAAGGTAAAATCTATTCCCTGGCGAAAAATATGAAGAAAGAATTAGTCAATTAGATAGTTAAAAACAAACGTCTTGCCTACTATCTCAACAGATTCTTGGAAACGCAGCGAAAAGTGGAAACTATTATCATTTAGTTTATACTAATGATGTTTCCTTACAATTCCAACTGTGGTTGTATTGATAACTGCTAGAAAAAAAGCCGTCAGCAATAATTAATTTATGTAGTATAAATGTGTAGTCTCGACGCTCTGCAGCTATGCCATAAGCTCMGTCTGACGGCGATTTTGTGGAATAATTGACGAATGACAGCCTTTAATTTTTGTACTAAGTTTCCGTACCGTTGCATTTTTTCCAACTTTTATTTGCGCATGCTACGCATTTTCTTACTTCTAGAGCGTTTTTGAATCACCATGTTGTCCTTTTTTCTCAACTAAATAATAATAATAAAAAAACAACGGCTTAAGGGAAAAAAGAATTCATAAAGATAAAAGAAATTATTGAATTATTTCTTCAACATTGCGCAACGTTTGTTCCTGTTGAATCGAGGTCCTTGGGACATCCRCTTTCTGATCTTTCATGCATCGTACAATTAATGAATGATTGAAATATCGGCTCTATTCATTTCATACGTAAACAAAAATCGGCATTTCATCAACGACCGATTTATTGTTCTTGAAGCCTTGATCAATATTTGAATATAACTGTAACAGTCCTGTGCATTGGGCTTCAAGAAAAATGTAATTTTTGGCAAAGACATTTTAATCCTTCGTTATACAAGATTATAGATCCGTCGAGTGCACTTGAGGCGGAACGACCACACTGTCTAATGGCTTTCGATGACAAAGACTACTCAAACGGCTATTCATCGTGGGAATTGAAAGAAAGCACAGAGTSCTCTAACGCTGTATGCACAGGCATTTAAAAGAAGGGTGGACTACAGCATGCCTATGCATCTTCGGCTTATTGATTATTTGTGTATTATTCAAGCAATAAGGAAAAATTGTCATGATCCCAGCAGTCAACCTAAACACTCGAGAGATTTTGCAAAAAATGACAAGACCTTAAAAAATCATACAGTTATTACATAGAAAACTGTTCATTACACTGACAGCGTGTATCTTTCTATATACCAATAATGAGATGTCAATTCCTGTATACTGTTGTTAGCAAGTATGAATGTAATTTTGAGTTTGGAAATAATTTATATTCGGTTGAGAGTAGAATATAAATGATCTTACAAGCTATATGTACACATAGTACACTAATCAAAAGCACCTTCTTCTGGCGGATRAACATCATGCGTCATTCTATTAGACTTAGTCAGATTATATAAGATTACTGCATGCATAACAACATTAATTCTATACCTGAGTGTATGCATCATTTCTTTTGTGTCTACCATTTGCTTAAACTTCTTTTCGTAATCTGCTGTCTCCGCGCTGTCTGTACCTCCGGGGGTACCTGATTTTGCGCTCATTTTTGGAATAAAATATCCAATTACAAAACCCACAGCTACAGMACAGAGAACTAGCAAGATTATAAGTACGATTTTGACGTTGCGGCCTCGACAAGGGTGTGGCTTGAACAGCTCCTCMGTGCTTTTCAGCTGGATTTGTGACGAAAATTCGTCCTTCATAACAGGATTTGTGAAGCTATTATTAACGTCTTTTAGTTCAGCCGCCATTGTCGATCATCAGTCGTATCTKYAAGACAATCACCAAAACGCTCAGCCGGGCTAATATAAACTAGTGATCACGTGGTACTGCCTGACTGTCTCCGGATTGTCGACTTGTTGATCATATAATCTCTTWAAAAAATTCAAACAATGCGCCGAAACCTTTATTCTATTGTAAGTTTGAAAGAGATTAGTTGAAATACCATTCAAGTGCCCCTCAACTTTGTTACAAAGTTACCTTTTTATCCTCAAATGGTGGACTCAAGGGAAGGCAAGTAAATAGTCCTTTAGTATGATGATACTTATCAAAGACATACACTTATGAAATCACCGAATAAATTAAGCTTRCATTGCGCAAGAAATGATATTCGATTCACTGTCTTACTTCCAAGGTATATTGATCCGGGTAAAAATTCGAATAAGACAGATGTATCCATCTAACTAGCCTGAGTGTAATAAGCAACCCTTAATGTAATTAATAAGGTTGATAGTAAGTGTAATACCAAGTGAACTTCTACCGTCTCACTCTGTAAACKTAGTGCGCTACAGTGCACCTATGACGTCACAGAATGCAATGGAGGGCGAAAGTTTTTGACAACTGTTTAAAGCTTGAACGTTATACAGTCTTTTTTTGAATTATTTAGCTATAAGGGTGTATGCAGTGCGTCATCTAGTGTTCCCGGGTCAGTCGTGTATGAATCCTGCATGAACCATATTTTGTGTAGTCTCCTTTCGCATCCGTTTTCGCTTCGGGCTTCCTGTCCCTCCCCTCAAACGCCGGAAGCCCGAAGCGAAAACGGATGCGAAAGGAGACTATATTTTGTGATGTAGTTTTCTAATAATATTGTCAAAAAGAACATTAACATTCTCAACTTTAAAATACTACATTCAAAAGTCTTGATTACTATTAGAACTTTAAAACAAATTGTAGATACATGAGACTATCACTGATTTTCAAGGTCTTCGTAGTAGTCTGCACAATCAGAGAACAAGACCCGCAACATCGATAACGTCGATTGTGTGTCGAAAGTAMATTTTGTAAAACAGTACAATCAATTACTTTGAATTCAAGTTGTATTATAGACCGCCTCACGGCATTTTGAACTGGGCCAAAACGCGCGAAAACATAACGAAATGTAGTAACATAACTTTAATCTTCTATAACTCACTTGGTGAGATTTTTCTATTTTTTTAAAGGAGGTATCATTCCTTACATGTAAATAGAAGTAGCTAATCAGAGAGCATACGAGAATATCAAAGGCATTCGACGATGTTGAAATTGTTCAATAWAAATTATAAGTTAAAACATTGAAATCATTTGTAATCTTTCGATAATCTTCACTTGTGTCTGATGACTTRCGAAACTTGATTTAAATTGTGCGGTGTCATGGAAGGTTAAAGATATTTTAGTATTTTCGTGAGTTTTGCCCCGATTCAAAATGGCGGACGTGAACATATGACATCATGGCTAAACGGAATGCGTTTGATTCAATCCCTGTCTACAGAGAATCGGCAGAGA